TGTGCGTGCATGTGCATGCTCATTTTTCAGGGTTTAAAAGCATCTTTTGGAGTTTTCCTTAATGTGCTAGTCCTGTGCTTGAATTGGCAGTCACTTAGAAAACTCATCTTCTGATGTTTACCCCGTCACATGGAAATAAAGGTTATCCAGCTCCAAGGTAACAGCCCCCTTGGTGTGTGTACCCATCATAACCCACCAGGGATATTGATGAAGAGCCTTTATTCCCCCCACAGGAGGTTGCATGTCCCAGAACATCTCCCTAAATGTGGGGGATAGAAAGAATTGCTTGACCTGTCTTTATGAAGCAGAGTGCCCAGGGATGGTGTGGGAACCTGGGTTGGAGGAGGGAAGATTGGATAGTCTGGAGAAGGGATGAAAGTGTGGGAACATGGGTGGGAAAAGGGGTGATGTTTAAGCAGCCATGAAAGGCGTCTGGGGCCTCTAATCACACTCCTTCTTTAGGACTTGAGATACCTCTGTGTCCCTCTCCCCGCAGAAGTCGGCCTATACAACCCGTGGACAGGTAAACTTCCTTTCCACGTGTGGCTTTGAGGCGGGGTGGTAACTTTTCATTATTGTTGGCAAGGGTGCTTTCAGCTGCTTAGAAGAGCAATTAGTCGCTTACTGCTGCTGCAGGAAGCTTGGTTAGGATGTTTCCTCTTGAAGAAGTTATTTTGAATGATGCCAGTCTCATGAAGAGTCCAACATTATGAAACCATGGGGAGGGGGCTGCGCGCAGGAGCAGCGGAGGCAGGGAGAGAGCGGCCGCCTGGGCTCCGCACCCCCGGGAGTAAGCTGNCTCCGCACCCCGGGGAGTAAGCTGGGGCCGGCGACCTTGCCCTCAGCGCCTGCTGTGACCCAGGTGCTCCTCACTGTGGACTCAAGCAGGCTCTGGGGCCGCTGCCCAGCCGTGCCGGCAGCTTGCAAAGGGTGAAACGGTGGCAGCTTATGTTCCTGCAGAGCTCCGGGAGGCGGCCTTGGGTTTTGGTGGCGGGTGCTGTGCCGGGTGCTGCCCACTGCAGCCTTCCGCTTGCTGTGCGCCAGGGCGCGTTTGATGGCCCACGCCGATTGCTCTGAGACGGATGAAAAACACCGCCTCGTGGACTTTTGCCAGGGTGCTGACTGCTTTAAAGGAGAAGCCAGGGCTTCTGTCTTCCAAACCCATCTTTGGGATTCAAGAACTGAAAGGGAAAAGTGGTGGAAACAGGAGTCCCTCCTTTTATGTGGAGGCTGCCCAAATGGTGACTGCCAGGGAGGGCTTGCCTGGCCTTTCTTTCTGCTTCCCTGTTACTCACTCAGAACCTCTGGCTCTGTCGTTCACTCTTGTCTCCGCATTCAGGGTCTTTGCACAGGGGACTTTCATTACCTTAGGTCTCTCTCCATCCCTGAATGGTTCATTTAGATGAACAGGAGTGGTGTAAGGGGGAGAAAACTGAGGAATGAAAAAACTCTTCCTCAACGGTAGGGAAGAGGTTGATATTTCTTGTATCTGACTCTTTCACAGATATATTTCCTTTGCTAGCGCCTGGTCAGCCCTGTGAGGGGGGTGTCAATGTTTCTGACCCTAGAGAGTGACAGGAAGACCACAGCTGGGGCCAGCACTGCGCACAGGTGTGAGAACAGCATAGCCAGGGGGCCCGCTGCTGAGACAGAACAGGGAAAACACTCTCCCAGCTTTATTTTCATTGTTTTCTGTACTTTTTGCTATTTTCCTATTAACCGTCTTGACACCGGATGAAGCCTGGTGCTCCCCTCTGCCCTGCTTATTACCTTGTCTATAATGCTGATTTCCAATAAAAATGATATGATCAAACCAGACTTCATCTTATTGCCCTTAAACGAAAAGAGAGATTATTACCATATTTTTGATAGATGGGAGAGCATGAATTCCATGACGTACATGTTTCTCATGATAACTTTTAAGCCATCTAAATAACTGCCTTCTGAGTTATTTTTATAATAATTTTATTCATTTGTCCAGAATACATAGATCAATTAACTACATGGTGAATTTGGCAGAATTGGCTAACAGGGGAGTTGGTGATGTCTGAAGAACAAATCTAGGCTTTTCTGTCCCCGACTAGCATTTCTTAGGTAATAATAATAGTCCTGGCTACTATTAATTGATCTTAACCTGGGTCCTGGCTAGTCACATTTTATGCAATATCACATTTAATCTTTAACAGTAATTCCCTGAAGTAGGTACTGATATCATCTTCATTTTCCTGATGGGAAAACTAAAGCTCAGATAATTTTCCCCCCATGGCTCTAGAGGATGGGCTGGCAAACTCTTTCTATAGAAGACCAGAAAGTAAATATTTTAAACTTTGGGCCACACTATCTCTGTCACAACTATTCAGCTCTGTTATTGTAATACTAGAGAAGCCTTAAAAAAAGTACAAAACCAAATGAGGTGTCTGTGTTCCAATAAAACTTTATTTATGGACACTGATATTTGAATTTCATATAATTTTCTTATGTCACAAAATATTATTATTATTTTCAACCATTATAAAAAGTAAAGATCATTCTTTACGTGCAATCTGAACTGGAGCAGGTGGTGGGCAGGATTTGCCGACCCCGGATGTAGATGTTGGCAGGGCAGGAGGAACGGGTTGGAACTGGGTGGTAGGAAGGGCACTCCTGCCAGAGGGAATAGCACATGTGCTCGTAGCAGAGAGCAAGTATTTGAGGAAATGCAGTTGACGCTAGTACAGTTTGATAGGGTATGTGGCACTATCAGAAGAGACATCAGGACCCAAGTCACGACCTTGTAGGACATTTTAAGGATTTTAGACTTTGCCCTTAGATCAGTGAGAAGGCATTAAAAGTATTAAGCAAAGGGATGACAAGGGCAATTGTGTGTTTTTTTTAAAAAGATCATTGACTGTTGTATGGAGAAAAGATTGCAATGGGTTAGTAACAGTAGAAGCAAAAAAACCCCCACACACCCAGTTTTGAGAACTGGGCCAGAGGGGCAATGATGGATGTAGCTGGACCCATTGCCTGACAACACCATCTTCGGGCAGCGAGGACGACCAGGTTTGCAGTGAGGAAAACAAGGCTGGGAGAGATGAGCGTCTGCCTGGCCACATAGTGAATGGAAATAGAGCAGAGATGAAGACCCTGTCTTCTGACTTCAGACCCGGTGACTTTTTACCGGTATGGTGTGAAATTCTTAACATTCTCAAATTGAAATTACATTTATCTCTGAACCTTACAGCTGAAGAGCCCCTTTCTCTTTCTCCTAAATTCTCATAAATGAGGATGGTGCCTCTTAGGTTTGAGTTGTTAACTCTCATTTCCTGAGGAAATTAATTTTGTTGTTGAGGGACCTTGTTCAAATAAGAGAAAGGCCAAGGATGGTACTGTGGGGATGGTTTCATGTTATTTTTGTGCTGGCGTTAGAAAGGTAGCTGAAGATTTATTTAAAGGTCAGCTTTTCTTAAAATTTGTGTAGCTTTCTTTCCCGGATAAGAATTGGTACATTCTCTTGGAGCTTTGCAGGAATAATTCATCTGCCTGGGCACTCAGAGTTGTGTCATTTCGGACACAAGCATATAACTCTGGGTCAGAGCCCTCCATCTTTTTCACAATATGTTGCCGAGGGGTTGGGGACTGCTTCTATGGGGATGGGGCAGAAAGGAAGAGGGAAAGGCGAGACTCAGGCCTTGGAGCAGAGGGTGGTGGCGATTTTGCTTCAGCCTCTCTGGGGCTGTGCCTTAGAGGTGGCGGTGGGTGATACTGACCTCCGGTAGGGGTGGGGGAAGGGGAACTTCAGAAAGATTTTGGTGGGTGGGCCCCAGTGGTGGCAACTAGTCAGTGAATCTTGGTTTTGGCTGGTATTTCATTCAAATTACTGTTATTTGTCACTTATATTCTTCCCCTATTTCAAGGGAAGGTCTGTGGTGTCCTGGTTTGTGTCTCAAGCATCTCCTCCGATCTCATGTCAACTAGGTGTTTCATCACCAAAAAGCATTTATTTGGAAAAAAGAAAGGGTTGCAACCCAGGGCATGCAGGCAGGGCAAGCGACATGCACACTCTGGCCTGCGTGCCAAGACGGAGGGGTATTTATAGAAGGGAAAAGGAGGTTGGGGGGTAGTTAGAACCTTAGAGCTCCGTTAAAAACATAGAGTCCTCCCCAGTAGGGTTCTCACGATTACTTTCAAAAGCCCGAGCTCCTCGCATAGACCCTCCCAACTTAGGTTTGCTTAACGTGCCAGTGAGTCTTTATCACCCACAATGGGCATTGTCTTGCACACAGTAGGTGCTCAGTATTGAATACTGGCTCTGTTGACCTGTCACCTTTGGCATCCATGCTGCACAGTGCAATCTCTCCTCTCAAAAAAGTCAGAGTTTTCTAATCTGAAATCATCAGAAAGAAGATACTTGGGATGTCCTGAAAGCAAGACAAATTTTAGGAGTGGGCAAGAGTCAGACTTCCATCGAGGATCTCCTCCCATCATGCAACTTTTGCTGTCCACTTCTCTTTTCTTCACCCTATTTCATTAGACTTAGTCGCATGCCTTTATTGTTACATAGTAGATGCCCAGTAGAGATACACTGAGTTAGTTCACTTCTGATACTGATTTTATTTGTTCTCTGTAGGCTCTTTACATACACAGGTGTAGGTGGTGAGGCTGAAGTTGTAAGCTCAGAGGTATTGATTACTTCTCTCCCTCCTTCCTTTCCTTCTTTCATCAGTCATTCAAAGTTGATTACGTGTCAGGCACTGCGTTAAGTTCTGGGAGGCAACAACAGAAGAAGACGTGATGTCTGATATGAAATACATTCCAGTCTAGTTGAGAGAGAAAAGGAAATAATGGTCACTTGGTGCGAGGTGTGGGCAGCCCGTGAGGCCTCCCCCTGACCTCGTGGAGAGGACCTCCCTGAGCGCTTTCCCTGCTGAACTCCAAAATGTGGCTAAGAGTAACCAGGGTACCTGCGCAGCAGTGGATGAATTAACAGGTTCTGCACTTGCCTTTCTCCATTTGTGCAGGCTGGAGATGTCTGCCGAGAGGTTAATGTCTAACAGAACGTCTCAGCAGTCTGCATCTAATTCTGATTACACCTGGGAATATGAGTATTATGAGATTGGACCAGTTTCCTTTGAAGGACTGAAGGCTCATAAATGTAAGTCTTACATAATTCTCCAATGTAAGCATAATATGTATTTGTCATAACCTGTGAAATCTCCAGTGATTACTTTTCCCGAATATTATCTTTTTACAGAACTCTGTCCTCTACACTCCCTAAACCCTAGAAAACATCCCCTCCAAACATGGACTGATTGCTCAGAAGTGGTCTTGCATGAGGACCTTGATGATTCTGAGTGACAAGGAACTTGAGAGAGTCCCTTAGTGGGGGAACATGAATTAATGTCATTCTTAAACTGAGATATTTTGTTAAAGCAGTAACAATTCCAGCTTTCCCAAACTGTATGAACATGTGGACTATCAAAAATGTGAAAAAAGTAGAATCTGGAACTATTAATTCAAGAATCTTGTTTTGTAACACATGCCACTGAGCTCTTTCAGTCCGTTGGTTTTCTGGAGCTGGAGCTGGGAGAGGAGTCTGCCTGTGTGTGTTCATGATGACGGACAAGAATAGCCTGACATCATTCCTAACTCTGTGTTTCGTGAATCGTGTGTCGTGTTATTGGAGCGATTAATGATCCAGCACAGAGCAAGGAAATAGAATTCTGTGAACAGTTACTGTCCAATTCCAGTCATATCTGAAAGCTGACTGGCCAGCATGCAGCGTCTGTGTTTTCTTAAGCAGAGTGGACGTAATAAGCGGGACCTGTTGCTGCCCACTCCCAGGGCCAGTTGTGGCTACACCATAAATATTCCAGAGATCTTTGTTTGAATGAAAATCTGCAGCATTACCAATATTTTAGGTTTTTAACTTTTTCAGATTAATGGGGCACATTAGGAAATATAAGACAGATTAGAATTGGAGACACAGGTGTGGCAAAGGCAATGCATTTGCCCCTTTAGTATTTCCTGGCTGCTCCCACACTCACCTGTCTTGGCTTCACCATCCCTCACACCCACCTGCTGCTCCCTCGCAAGGAGAACTTTATTTTTCTTTTTCAGCTTTATTAAGGTATAATTGACAGATAAAATTGTAATATACTTAAAATGTACATGAGGATTTGATATATGTATATATTGGGAGAGGATTTATCTCAATGAGTTATTAACATATTAATAACCTGAGATTTTTTTTAAATTTATGAGAACATTTAAGTTCTACTCTCTTGCAAATTTCAATTGTACAATACGGTGTAATCAGCTATACTCGCCATGATCCTCAGCCCTTATTCATTTTATAACTGGAAGTTTGTACCTTTTTACCAGCATCTCCTTTTTCCGGCCACTCCTCATTCAGCCGCTGGCAACCACTTTTCTACTCTGTTACTATGAGTTTAATTTTTTAAAAGATTTTAAATATAAGTGGTACCATGCAGTATTTTTCTTTCTCTGGCTTCTTTCTCTCAGCATAATGTCCTCCAGGTTCATCCATGTCATGACAGAATTTCCTTCTTCTGAAAGGAGAATAGTATTCCATCTTGCATGTGTATGTGGATGTTGCTATGTGTGCACATCCATGTGTGTGTATCACAGTTTTTTAATCCCTTCTTCCATTGATGGACACTTTAGGTGTTTCCATATGCTGGCTATTGTAAATAATACTGCAATGGACATGGAAATGTGAATATCCTCTTGAAGATAGTGGTTTTGTTTCCTTTGGATATATATCCGTAAGTAGGATTGCTGGATCATATGGTAGTTCTATTAATTTCTTGAGTAACATCCATATTGTTTTCCATGTGGCTGCACCAGTTTACATTCCCACCAACAGTGCGTAAGGGTTCCCTTTTCTCCACACCCTCACCAGCATTTATCTCTTGTCTTTTTGATAATGGACATCCTAACAGATGTGAGATGATATCTCACTGTGGTTTTGATTTGCATTTCCCAGATGATTAGTGATGTTGAGCACCGTTTCATATACCTGTTGGCCATTTGGATGTCTTCTTTGGAAAAATATCCGTTCAGGTCCATTGTCCATTTTTAAATTGGGCTGTTTATTTTCTTACTATTAGTTGTATGAGTTCCTTGTATATTTTGGATATTAACTCCTTATCAGATACATGGTTTGCAAATATTTTCTCCCATTCTATATGTTGCCTTTTCATTTCATTGATAGTTTACTTTTGCTGTGCAGAGCTTTTGTTAGTTTGATATAGTCCCACTTGTTTATGTTTATTTTTGCTTGTGTTGCATTTGCTTTTGGTGTGACATCCAAAAAATCATTTCCAAGACCTATGTCAAGGAGCTTATCCCCTATGTCTATTACCATTATTTTGAACTCTGTCAGGTAAATAACTTATCTCTATTTAATTTAGATCTGTTTCTGGAGATTTATCTTGTTCTTTTGTTTGGAACATATTCCTCTATGTCTTCATTTTCCTTGACTCTCTGTGTGATTTCTGGGCATTAGATAAAACAGCCACCTCTCCCAGTCTTGACACAGTGACCTCCTGTAGGAGATGAACCCTGTCATTCAGCCAGGCCTGAGCTCCTAGTTGTCTCTCAAACTTTTACAATTGTCCAAGCTGCCTTCTTTTTTCTAAGTGGCTCCCAGTATTTGAGGATGTGTCAAGACCTGTCTGTGTCCCAAATGGGGTGGGGGATCATGGCCAGGAACTAGACGCGGTCTGATTAGAAGCCAGACCCTCAGGCAGCACCTGGGAAAGGATGGGCATTTTTGTCTGCTCCCTCTGTGCTGGGCCTGGTGTGTAGACGTGAGGGGTGCTCTGTGCTTGCTAAGAACTGCATCTTTGTTTACTACAGTCCTGTGGGACTCATGAATGCAAGTCCCATTGTCTGTCAGAGCCAGGAGATCGGTGGCCTGTCCCTTGGGTAGCTGCTGCTGCAAAAGCTGGGTCACCAGACTGTGTACAGCTTCCTTCCAGGAAGATATGGCAACATGATTTTATTATTGGAGTGGGTGGAGCGAGAAGGATGGGGAAGTGTCCAGAGGCCTCGCTGGTCTCTGGAAGGACCACAGCCAGCCCCTAAATGCCTGCTAAATTAGAAGCCTGACCCTCAAGCAGCATCTTTTCAAGTAAGCAGATAAACCTCTTTCAATGAAAGACTGGGAGGTGGATGTTTTTTCCTGTTCCTCCTGCACTGAGCCCTGCGGGGGCAGCTGTGATGAGGGCCTGAGGGCCCATAAATAACTGCTTTTTTGTTTGCTGTAGTCTTGGAGTTCTCATGCATGCAAACCAGAGCTAGATTTTGAGGGGACCCATCTCTCTAGTGGGAGTCTTAAAAGTTGGGGCTCAAGATACATGACCCAAACCCTTCCCTCTTCAGGGGGAAAGTGTGAGTTGGGGGTTCCATCCCCACTGTAATGCTGCTGTGCTGGGGGTGGGGTTTGTGGCAAGAGTGTGTCTCAGACTTTCCTACTCATTTAGATGTGGCTCTTTTCTCCTTTGCCTGATGCGTAGGAGTTGATCAGCTGCTTCTGGATCTCTTTCAAAGGGAATTTCTCCATATGTAGCTGTATATTTGGTGCATCCATAAATTTAGGAGAAGGGGAGCTCTGGAGCCTCCTAAATTTCCTTCATGGTCAGCTCCCCATTCCAGCTAATTAAATGCTTTAACCATTGCCCCTATTCCCCTGCTGCAGGAAGGACCAGACAGCCCAGGCTTCATGTGCAGGTCCCAAGGACTCAGGTGCCACTGTTTGCTGGTGTCTGTGGCAGAGCATTCAACTGGGCAGTTAGAGGGAGGGAGGCAGTAATACTCTGCTGATTCCCACCTCTGGTCTCCATCTGTGGGTCTGCAGAGGGCTTCAGAGTTACTCATTTCCTGGATAGAGGACGTTCTATTTTTGTTCCTTAAAAAAATCATTAACTAAACTTCATATCCTTTCCCCCTGGAGTGAATAGTAATAATTAAATACTTTCACTCGTTCTTTTATTGATGTCTGCTCAGCAGTTCTTTGTGGAAATAAAGAAATTTTTAAAAAAGCACTTAGAATCCATTAGGATATGCTGTTATTGATTATCTGATGGAAGGCTGTTGCTGTCAGGTGTGAAATTACTCTCCTTTGTTTACTTTAATTCTTTAATCTGTTGTTTCTCTGGGACAACCTTCAAGTAAGGATACTTGCTTGTTAGGAATTTTAGTGGAAATCAAAATGACTGGGGAAACTGCCATATGTTTTCCTGTAATATGGGCTTTTACACTTTGGTGGCACAAATTTTATTTTTGTGTCAGTTTGCTCTCTCCTCTTTTCCTTAATGTAAGGGGGAAAGAAGACAGAACTGCTGCTGTAATTTTGGTCGGTACATTTCCAGAGTCAAATGAAAAATCTTTTTAAAGCATATTACATTCTAGAAAAAATTATAGCTAGAACAATTCCTGCAAAACACAGGCAGGAGTGTGACACATTGCATACTTACTTTATGCACTCTGCCATTAATAAGGAGTGTTTTTGTTAGTTTTAACATTCACATCGGGAAAACCCAAAAATGCCTGGTTGAGTCTTTACTGTTCTGATTCAGTAAGAGATTTGGTTAAAGCAGAGGTCCTTAGCTTCAGGAACCTGACACTATATGAGAGACATAGAAAAGAATTTAAAAAAATTTTTTTAAATCCCCCATACATGCAGGAAAATAAAAAAGATGAAGTGAACTACTGCATTGTGTACATTGGTATAGTCTCTTACATTTTAAAATGCTGTGATTCTGACCTTCAAGTGTGTCTCTTTGTTTTGCTGAGCAAAAGTCAAAGCCAGTTAGGTTCAGGTTCAAAAGAACAGAAGCAAGGCATTTCAAGGTGAGGATATAAATATTCCTAGCAGTTATCTTCATCTGTTTTACCTGTAAGAAATCATACTTGGTAACAATAGCTGCATCTTTAATTAGATTAAGATTCCTACCTTCAAAACAACCTCTGATAGTTGTTTGAATTTTACTTTTGCCCTTAGTTTTTAATTTGGTGTTAAACCTTATAACGTATCAGAAGTGGACATATGTCTGATATACACTTGGCACGAGCAGAATGGACAGTTATTCATTCAGCACCTATTTATCGAGCACCTGTTTTGTGCAGTACTGTTTTGAGCATTGGAGATACAACAGTGAACAGAAAATACAAAAATACCTCCTTTTATAGATTAAACGTAGTTAATTGCCAGTAACGTCTACATTATAAATCCAAACATTATCAAATGTTTCCTTGGTAATGTAGATGCCACATTCTTGAGGAAACATTTGGAAATACTATTGGATCACAGAGATTCTCAAACTCTAACCACAGAACCTCCCCACCCTGCTCCCCCGTGACTCCCCTGATGGCTGGGACCTTCCCCGGCCCCAGGCTATTGTTGCTTTTGGATCCGCTCCCTGGGGCCCGGGTGAGGTGGGGGGAAGGGGCCGGGCTGGGTGAGGGTCACCCCTTCCACCTCTGCCCGCCCTGGGTGTGGGAAGCAGAGGAGTGGTGGGGATGCAGTGTGAAAGCTGTCCCCCCGAGAGCCCCTTCCTAGTAAACAGATTTGAAAAGTGAATCAGTGCAACTAGATTCAGTTCTCAATTGAGGACTTAAGTACAATGTGCTGTCATTTATTTGTACAACAGTGTTTCGCAGTCCATGGCCCCCATAATCGAGATGTTATTGTTACATGTCAGTTGCACTTGTTTACTTGTGTTTTTTGGGACTTGTCCTTATGTCTTTTTAAGGCCTCATTTCCATGTAAGGCAAAGTCTGCAATTTCTATTTCCTTGGCACGCTCCACCCCAGGAAAGATACATTAGCTTTACATCCAGAGTGCTGATTATTCAGCACACTGTTGAATAAAAGCTGTTAACCTTTAGGCAGTAGTATATGTAGAATGAAAGTATAAATTATACAGAGTAAATTGCTAGTCTGATTTCTTTGCTTCAGAAAAAATGCATTGGAATTTAATTAGAATAACACATTGCATTTATACATTTAGCGTATAAGCCATTTGTTTTTCAAAATTGCTGAGCATTCTCACTGTATTCCCACATAGGTTGACTTCTAGAATAAATCAGAAAATGTAAAATAATTCCACTTTGTTGTCTCCCACAGATTTGAGACCCTATTATATATGTGCCAGGTTCTGTAGACAGTCCAGGTCCTCCCTGTCCCAGAGATATACCCTTGTGACTGCTACCCAAGATAGGGTCAAGGAAGGGCCCATGTAGAGAAGCTCAGACAAAAATGCCTTGGGGTTCAAAGGCCAGAGAGAACTCATCAGCTGGAGAAGTTAGCCCAGGCTTGGTGAAGGAGATGGTGTGAGGAATAGGCTTTGAAGGGTAGATGGACTTTCATCAGCTCCAGGTTGGGGAAAGTTGTTCTAGCCAGGTAAAGGCAAGAGCCCCTCAAAAGGCATGGGGATTAGGAAGTTGTGGCTAAGAGTTAAGGTAAATGCGGGGACTCAATGTCCCCTAGTCTGATTGGAAGCATGGGTTTTAAAGTAGGGTAAGCTGGGAGAAAATAATTCTAACAATAATAGCTGACAAATGTGGGGTACCTTCTTCTCAGATGTCAGGCATTATATGAAGTGCTTTATGTATGGAATCTCTTTTAACCTGGAGAAGGTCAAGTCTATCTTTGTTGAAGAGTTTTTCATAAAAGAGAAATATTATCAGAGCTGTGATAAAACAAGTTCACACAGAGATGAGGCACACAGAAAGATAGATGACAATGGCACAGGAGGCGATTTGTACATTCTCAGCAAGGCGTAATGAGGACCTGAGCTATTCCAGCATGAACAGCAATGAAAATATAAAATTGGGTTGGTTTGAATAAGAATTCATTTTAAACTTTATATCGTAATTTCTGCTAGAAACTGTATTTCCTAACCCAAGACACTTCACTGGAATCTTGGGGACCTAGATGACTTATGTCCTGTCCTGGGTTCCTTTATTGGGCTATGGAAACCAATGGTCAGTAAGCTGAAGTCCCTTAGTGTTACCTGAGATGAGAACCTGGAGGGGACACAGATTCTTCTCTCTCCCTCATCCCCTATGTCTTATCTGTCCCCAGTTGATGGATGGGTCAAGATTGTCTCATAAGATTGTTCACATCCTGTCTCATTTCATGTACCATAAAGCTCAGATTTCTTGCATGTTCAAGTTTTTGGCTCCTGTGAAATACTAATCCCAGTATTAACTGTCTTGCAGATTCTATTGTGATTGGATTTTGGGTCGGTCTTGCAGTCTTCGTGATTTTCATGTTTTTTGTGCTGACTTTGCTGACCAAGACAGGAGCACCCCACCAAGAGTAAGTTTGGACTGTTCTTAAATATCTGTTAAACTCCACAGGGAACTGAAGAAACAGGAACAATGTCCAGGGCTGGGGTTACTTCCAGGGGTGGAGAGAAGGGCCTGGTTGTGGATAGTGGCCTGGACCCAGGCGCCTGCGGGTGGGATCTGTCCTACTCCTGGCCTCTTGCCTCGGCGGCAGCTTGTTTTCAAGTGGATCCTCACGAACTTAGGTTTCTTGGTCCTTTTGTATAGTTTAATGCTGATTCAGGCCTGCTTTTTATGTTGAAATACTTATTAATTAGGATGTATTTTATGCTTAGTCCCAAAACAATTCAGATGATTCACCAGACTAAAAACAGTGAAAAGGGGCAATAGCAAAGTAGGGTGAAAATTAGTTTTTAAAAACATTTCTAGGAATAGAGAAATAGCTGATACTGCGTATTCAACTGAATAATTGTTACTGAGTTGTTACCGAGTAATCATTGTCAGTAAACACTGAGTTCAATGCTGAGTTTCTTGGAAACTAGGATTAAAAAACACACTCAAGATTCTGTGATTCTCATCGCAGGATGAAGAATATTTGTGCTGGGCTTTGGGTGTAAGGAGGAAATTATTACACGAGTGCTTAAAGAATGCTGAGTAACATCAGAAGGTTTGCAAAAAAGTCAGAAAGGTTTTAGAGAATTTTTTTTATCCCAACTTCTTTAAAAAATGGAAAAAGAATATATATTGAATACCTTTTTGGTGGGCCCAAGCAGGCACAGGTAGCACACTCAAATTAGGTAAGTGGAAGAGTGTTGGACGAAGGGCCTCTTCACAAGCTGTGGCCAGTGAGGAGGACACCCCGCGGACAGTGCAGCACCCAAGGCTAGCGATGCTGAGGAGTAGATGCCACCTGATCTGAAGGGACCTGACTAGAGCCCGGGAGTCCTGCAGAGAAGGCGGCCGAGAGGAGCTGTGACCTTGGAGTGAAGGACGCTGCTAGCCCAGAGTGATCTCAATAGACCTTCCTTTCCTCCCCCTTTCCCATCTCTCGCCATTGCTCTCCCTGGCTGTCCACAACACAACCAGCAGCCAGAGCCTCCATCAGAGGTCTATTTCCCAGGGCACAGAGCAGGATGGGGGGGTGGAAAGAGGCCTGGGAGAGTAAATGGAAGAAATTCAGCACAATTCCTAATTTTACATTTAGTATCTCACTTAATCCTACAGCCTGGCAGCAGTACTCTTATTACTGGGACAGATTTGTCTGATGTAGGCCATAGGATGATTGCACAGATGGGAACCCTAGCCCAAAGTAGAACATGACTTCCTGTGATGATTTTATGGGTCAACTTGGCCAGGCCATGGTACCCAGGTATTTGGTCAAACATTATCCCACATGCTTTTGGGAAGTTGTGTGTGTGTGTGTGTGTGTGTGTGTGTGTGTGTGTGTGTGTGTGTGTGTGTGTGTGTGTGTGTGTGTAGATGAGATTAACATTTAAATCAGTATTCTTTGAGTAAAGCAAATCATCCTCTATAATATGGGCGGTTCTCATCCAAGCAGTAGAAGGCTTTCTTAGAAACAGACCAACCTGCCTCAAGCTAAAAGGAATTCTGCAGCCTGCCTCAGACTTGAACCGTAGTTGGGTCCTGGGTCTGCAGCCTGCTGGCCTACCTGCAGATTTTGGACTTGGCAGCCTCCACAATCACATGGAAATAAATCTGTATCCCTCTCTCTATATAGAAAAGGAAGGAAGGAAGGAAGGAAGGAAGGAAGGAAGGAAGGAAGGAAGACAGGTAATACACATACACACACAAACCATTGGTTCTGTTTCTCTGGAGAATCCTGACTAATACATTTATTTATGTGTCATGATGTCCCTGAATAGCTGAGACTTGCATTTCCAGTCTTCTAATTGGCAGTTCAGTTGTACTGCAAATGATTTCTCATTTGATGGTGGTTCTGACTAATCTCCATCAAAGAACAGGGGTCATTGTAACTCTCCATGGTTTCAATGAGGGTGAAGTCTTACCTTTTTGTTTTGCTTTTGATAAAATGATGGATCAGCCCTCTGAGACACACCTTAAATGTTTTTGTGAGTCTAGGGCAGTGTAAGATATGGCATTTAATTGTTATATATAAACAGAAAACTGAAAGAAACAGACATGCAGAAAAAATCCTAAGTGGATCAGTTAAAAAGACCTTTTGATTTTAATATACTTGATATTTATTTGGCAGAAATTTTCTCTAAAATAGACATTTTTTCCATTCAGTTAACTTTAATATAAAATAACCCATTTTAAGTTTGCCTGTGATAATTAGGCATGGAGGAAAGAATGATAAAATAATTGAGACTATAATAAAAGCCTTTAAAAAATGTTTACCATATGCCAGGGTCTACTAATCACTTTATATGCGTAATCTCACTAAATCCTCACAGGAAGATGAAATAAACCCTTTAAGTATTCCCACTTTACAGATGAGAAAAATGAGGCAGAATCACTTGTCTGAGGTCTCACAGGTAGAAAAAAAGAATGCTGTGAGCCAGGCCAAAGCCTCTTAGACTCTGAAGCTCCTGTTGTTAACCACTATGTTAAATAATCTCATAGCAGTAATTTTTCATCTTCTCTTCCTGTTGAATCAAAACTATTAGTAGGCGATCAGATTTGTTCTCTTTTATGACATACTGGGTCAACTATGGGCTCTGGAGTCGAACATTTCCAGATTGATTCACTGAGATTTTGGCTGGATTCTCAACCTCTTTATGCTTGAGATTCCTCATTTGTAAAAATAAAGTCATACCTGCCTCCTTAGATTCTGGTGAAGATGAAGCGAGCTAATGCCTGTGGAGCCGTGGGCATTCGCTGGGCTCACTGGGCACCCAGTAAAGATTAGCCCGCCCCTCTGGTGCTGGTGGAAGTCCTGGCGGCAGCTCGGGGGTCCAGGTGAGGAGTGGGAGGGAGGAGAAACCCACCAGGCAGCCACCAGGAATCAATCACAGTTTACCTGAGCGAGAACATTTTGCTATCTCGGTGGATGGCAAGAGTTGAAATCTATTCTACTGCACAGAGCTAAGGACATCATAGTAAAATAGGCAAGTTATCCCCCTGAAATTTTCCACTTGGGATCGTATTAGGATAAGATCTCCAGTTGGAATCACTGAGAGGGAGTACACAAGAGTTAGACTAGGTTATAAGACAGTAAAAACTCTCCGTATCTCAGGACAACACAACATAGGTTTACTTTTACTCCAGCTATATGTCTGCTGCGGGTTGGCAAGGGCTGGACAGAAGCTTCTGTACTTGTAGCTGCGCTACCTTGCGCACTCGGCCTGCTGGGTCACTGTGACGGGGAAGGGAAAGCCTGGCGATCTCACCTCTGCCCTTCTGTTCTTCATCCAGGAGGAGCACATCCCTCCTCTCACAGCTCATGGGGGGGGGGCAGCCACACCCACCCGGCTGCCTCGCTGGGAAGGGTAATCTTCTGTCCAGGAAAAGAGAACCAGATACTTGTACACACTTAGTAGAGTACACGGAAGAGGGAAAAAGACTGTTGTAAAACTGACATCACCTTTCTTAAAAGCTTTTAGGCCCACGAAGGAGCTTTCATGGGGACTGTTTTCCCCATGGAATATTTGCTGTTGCGCTGGGGGGAGGGACCGTCTCACCTGGATCCCTTATGGACAATGCAGGTGAAAGAACCATTTTCGCTGCTTTCGCAACTAAGGAGCCATTTACTCTCTGTGCTGCCTTGTTAAAGCATTATGGCCCCATTATCATAAACCTGCCAGAGAGAGAGAGTAATGGGAAAGGCTTGCATCACATTTTTATGTTGAATATTTTGGACTTCTTTGCAAAATTATCAAACCCCAGACATCACAGGCCTCAAATACCCTCCTTTTGTAGCCTTCGCTGAGTGTACTTTGTCCAGGTGGGGATGTTCTTTATTTAGGGGTGAGTGCAGGATCGCTCATGACCTTGTGAAAACAGGAAGTACATTTTGCCTTGAGTTGCAATTTACCTGAATATGGCACTGACTAAAGGATGTAATACAATTAAAACTAATAGCAGGAAAGAGTCCCTGTTCAAGGTCTTTGGTAATGACCAAGGCTACAGGAACCAGCTGGCAAAGTGCAGATGTAGTGAGTGGGTCCCAAGGAAGTCTTGTCACTCCAAAAGGTCTACCCTATCGACAGCTAGAAAATCTGATAATTTTATCTATCTGAATCAATTTGTTCAGGAGTTACTTTTAATTCCCCATCAATTACGAGGTGTTTACTAAGTGCACAGCTGTGGGCTTGCTCAGGACTGTGCTGAGGTTTGTACTAAGGTAGTGGAATTTTCCAGAGAGATGGACATCTTCCTGGAAGTCAGTTTTACCGATTACAAAGACCTATTATGAGTGAAAGCTTCTGTACTTAACCACCTGAGAAAATCATAATAACCACTAACATAATAACCACTAACCACTTAAAGCAACCAAGAGGTACTTCCACACACACAGAAGGGTTTGGTTGGCACCTCTCCTTGGCCTTGTTACATGAGATAAAGCTCTCAGCACAAGCTATGGCTCCATGAATGTTAGTGGTTATTATGATTTTCTCAGATGTTTAAGTACAGAAGCTTTCACTCATAATAGGTCTTTGTAATTTATCCATCTTTCAAAGTCCACTGGAGGTGACTGCTGGAAATACCAGGTGCTCACAGCTGGTCTGCCTGCCACTTTTCGTGAGCGAGGCAAACCTGAGGACAGTAGAGGGTGGGCTAACACTCTTAGCATAGCAGTAGCCATTTCATTTGTAAAATCTTGTCATAAATCTGAAAAATCCCTAGGGGAATAACCCACAACATTATGGGTATTTTTCTTCTGCAAATGGAAGTAGGAGAAGCCTTTCCTCTTGACTTGATATGTCTTTGGGCCACAGAAGTAGGAGCACTTCACTAAACACTGGAGATGGCTGTGCCTCTCAGGAACACCCTGCAGATATAGCTGTTCAGTCCAATATATTCAGAATATATTACCAAACTTCTACAAATCAAAAATAAAAAACAACCCAATTTAAAAAATGGGCAAAAGACACAGACACTTGGCAAAAGAAGTTAAACTAATCGCCAATAGGACATGAAGAGAAGCTCGATATTATTAGATATCAGAGAAATGCACATTAAAACCACAGTGAGATGCCATTTCACTCCCATGAGAATGGCTAACATTAAAAAACTGACACCACCAAATGTTGACAAGTATGTGGAACAACTCTAATTCTCATACAATGTGGTGAGAGTGTAAAATGATACGACCACTTTGGAAAGGTTCAGGGTTTCTTATGAAGTTAAACACACATCTATTATATAGCCCAGTAATTCTACCCTTAGGCATGTACTCAAAAGTAATAAAAACATGTCTACAAAGAGACTTTTCAAGAATGTTCATAGCAATTTTACTCACAACAACCCCAAACTGGAAACAACCCAAATACACTTTAAAAAGAGAATGAATAAACAAATTGTAGTATATTTATACAGTGGAATTATACTGAGCAAGAAAAATGACAATTTTCCCATGCGTCGACATGGATGAATCTCAAAAACATGCTGAGCAAAGGAATGCAGGTACAAAAGGCTATATATTGTGTGTTTTCATTTGTATGAATTTCAAGAATGGGCCAAGTAATCAGTGGTGAGAAGAATCCGAACGGATTGCCTTTAGGAAGTGGAAATGGACTGGAAGTTTGAGAACAGGCAAAGATAATCAATGCAAGTGGAGATCAGAGCAGTGTTGCCTAAAGGGAGTGGAAAATGGATGAAAGGAAACTTCCTAGGATAAAGAGAAATATTAGATATCTTGATTGAGAATGGTGGTTACATGGATGTGTAAGTTAATTAAAACATATTGAATTTTATACTTATGATCCATGGATTTCTGTGTGTAAATTTTACTCACTGGTAGGATGGACAGAAACTACACTGAAGCAGGTTGTATCCATGATCATAGGTTTTCACATATCAGTCCTTTATCAGTCAAGAAAAGGAAAGAGGAGTGTAAGGACAACCTATTGAATATTTAATGTTTACCAGAGTCTAAGAGTACAAAGATGAACTTTTCCCTTGTCCTCAGAGAAAGAGAATCAGACAAATTGCACTGTTCTCACACGGAGAGATCTTCGGGAAAAAACTCAGGGGGAGCGAGGTGGGGCAGGGAAGGCGTCTCGGAGGCTTGGCTCTGCGCTGGGGGGACAGAGCCCTGAGACCCCTGTGCCTCGCTCTTCAGCGGGGCGGTGGAAGGGCCGCTGCGCGCAGTCGGGTTTCTGGGTCCACTTTCCCGCTCAGCTGGTGCTCCGGGCAGGCGGCTAAGCTACTTCCCAGAGCCTCTCAGCCCTGCAATTGGGGAGTAGTGTGGCCCCAGAAGTCTTAATCATGCCTTTTCAAACATGTTAAGCCCTTCTTTCTGCCGGGTAGTGCTTCAGCTATTAGGTCACTGTTGCTGACTCACTCGTCTTTATTCTCAAACATCTTTTTAAACTGAGTGACGTGACAGAGGAAGAAAATCACCTATCGAAAGACAAGACCACTTTAATCTGCATTAGAGCAGAAGTCATCCGGAGTGTCTCCAAAGAGATGTTTCTTAAAATTCTGAATACACGGCCTACTGAATGTTTAATGATTTACTCTTGTGTAAATTGACCATCTTCACATCACGTTTGCTCAGCAGGCAATGAAATTTGTTAACCAGGCTTTTTACTAAAGCTCTGGCTCCTGAGAGAAATTCCTTGTCTGATGTTACTCAGATAATCTGATATAAAAGTCCCTCAACTGGCTGGATTACAAAGCTCCTAGGATTACTGATCTCTGAAATCCAGGTGATTCTCGATAATTTGAAGGCTCGTGTATATGGTCAGATTTTCCAGACCTTACATTGAATCTATGCTCTTCCTTCCCCGTGGAATTTGGTCATCAGCACTTTATCCTGAGTGATGGGATGGGAAGGAAGAGAGTTAACTGAAATCGAGACAATTACAGCCTTGTTGAACACAGCCTGGTTTTTGTTAGGTTCTGTCTGGATTTGAAAACATCCTCAGACATGATTCTTGTCCTTAAGGCATCATTTGTGTGTGAGCAACCTTTTTATAAATCTGGAAGGAAGGGACTAAAGTCCATGGGATATCAGGATATTCAGCTTACCCATGCTATTTCTTTCATGTACTTATAGGACTAATTGAGTTACTTCATTCATTCCCTCATTGATTTATTACCATTACATTGCTAATTTGTTCCACACTAAAGGGAACAAGGGATTAGAAACCTGAGTCTTACTCCCACTCTTGTCACGAACTGGTTGTGTGACCCAAGTTGGCAGTCTGACTGCTCCCTGCCTTAGCTTCTATGTTTGTAAAATTGGTACAGTAATTCTTGCCCTAAGTGACGGCTCTGGTCAGTTTTGAGAATCAAATGAGATAAATGGATACAAACAATTTTGACAAATAAGAAACTCACCTCTGTGAGATAACATTGTCCTGGTTCAGGCCAGCCTGATTAGGTCAGTGCTTCTAGACTTGGGCATGAGAGTGTGATCCTGGAGGATTCTATGAAAAGACAGGTCACTGGGCCCTGCCTCCAGAGACTCTGAGGATCTGTCTGCAACTCGGGATTCTGCATTTTAAGAAGCACTTGAAGTAATTTTGCTGCAGATGATCCAAGAGTCCCACCGAGAATCAGATGACGCCTCAGCAAGATGTCTCTTCCCAGGAAGGTCCGGGGGGGCCTCGCCTTGGGGCCTCTGCCTTGTGTTATTTATGCCTGTTCAGAAGTGACAACTCTCAGCCCTGATGTTTGTCTGCACGCTCTGTACAGGGGCTTGCACCCAGTATGGGCTCAGCGGAAATATGCCGGCCTGCCCTACATGCCCCAAACCGTGATTCTGCAGAATGAGCCAGAGTATAAGCCATCTTTTATTTCCCTTTTCTCTACAGCAATGCAGAGTCTTCTGAGAAGAGATTCAGAATGAACAGCTTCGTGTCAGACTTCGGAAGACCGTTGGAGCCAGATAAGGTATTTTCCAGACAGGGCAATGAGGAATCCAGGTCTCTCTTTCACTGCTACATCAATGAAGTAGAAAACCTGGAGAAGGCCAAAGCCTGTCACCAGACCGCAGCCCTCGACAGTGAGGTTCGGCTGCAGGAAGTCATCAGAAGCAGCGGGCGGCCCGAGGAGGAGCTGAACAGGCTCATGAAATTCGACATCCCCAACTTCGTGAACACGGACCAGAGCTCCTCCTTTGGGGATGATGATCTTCTGATTTCAGAACCACCTACTGTTCTGGAAAATAAGCCCGTTTCCCAGACCTCACACGAAGGCCTGGAGTGAGAAACATGCTCTGTAACATGTCTTCCTGGAGAGGTTGGGGTGTGTTTGTACAGCAAGAATTCTCCAGTCACCAAAACTGTGTCTGTGTGTCTGTGTCTGTGAGAGGGAAAGAGAGAGAGAGAGAGAGAGAAACAGACAGAAAGAAAAAGAGAAGAGAGACCCTGAGAAGAGAGCTGATTAGGCTCTGTTTTTATGCTGTTAAACACATTTGGGGCTTTGGGGAATAAAGTATTTATACTGTCTCATGTTCCTTGTTGAGAAATTTGGCCACGTACTTGGTGTCCTCACTCTTGAATGGGAGTTGTCATCTGTGTTCCACTCTGGCCCTGCCACGGCCATGCTCTACCTTTAGCAATGTTTTACTTCTCTGGCTGCTACATTTTTTCCTGTAAGGTGAGGAGTCTGGAACAGATGATCCATCTGGCTCTAATATTTTGTGAATTTCTGACCTTGCATCCAGACGAGGCTGGGGTATACATAAAGCCATATAAACTAGGGCAGGGGATCCCCAAATGTCTGTCCCTTTCACTCAACCGTTGACTCCGCTCAGCTTTCAATGGGGGCTTGATGTCTACCAGGATGTCAGGACACTCATCTCACATGTCACTGTGTGACATTTGTGTTAGTTGTACCAAAACAGCTCTTCTGAGAGAAGCTCTGGCCACTCATGCTCAAACCTGGGGACAGTTCTGCCCCTCCCCTCCTAGAATGAGTATCCATCCATGTTATAGCTCATGGAACTTCTGTCCCCAAGTGTAAGGGAGGTTGTCAGCTGACTGAGGGAGGTGACTTTTGTATGTCTCTGTGTTGGTCTGTGTCTGGTCACATTGTTGTGCCCTTGGCCACTGGACAAGTGAAGTGCTGTTTGCCATGCTGTCTACTCACGTGGCATGTGTGTAGGGGATGGTCATTGGCTAGTATGTGGCTCTGAGCTGAGATGGTGAATGGGTTGTAAGTACCCCACCAACAGATATTCAGGTTGGCCTGGTACAACACAGTTAAACCTGCACATTGGTATCAGAAATAACTTGGTTTTATACACCCAGGTTGTGTGCATGGCCAACTGGGTGGCATTTTCATTACAACTTTGTTCACCACCTGTCTTGCTTAAGCTAAAAAATAAATGCATCTGATTGCACAGAAGTTTTCTCTGGTTCTTTGTTTTCACACATCCAGTTTTTTTATTTCCTTCTTAAAACCACTCCTTATTTATAATGCCTCCTAACTTCTATTATCTCTAGGATCCTAGTAGTTCAAGTCATGTAACAGATTTCATTTAGGAATTATTCCACCAAAAGAAATCCCTTTTCCATAATGTCTTTTGAGGAAAATATTATTCTTTGAGAATCTAACACTAAAGAGAGCAAGGAGTGAAAATTTTTTTTGTAATTAAAGCTGTTAGAACACATTCTTGCAAATAGATACTTGCTATTTTTAATGAGTATTTTCAGGAAAAAGAGCAAGAGTAGCAAAGAATGCTGATTTTATTAACTTCTAATATGAATATTATTCATAATTTACTTAACCAAACATAGACCATGGACTATTTCTTATTACGATTAAAAGATATTTAAATGGTACTTAATTTAGAAGTGGATTTATTAAAAAACTGAAAGATATTTAGAAGTTGGAAAAACACCCGTGACTATAGCCATCATTTTTGTGAACTAACTGTTGAGGACTGCGGTGGATCTTAGATTTTACCCCTCTTGCAGCTAACCAACTAGCCTGGCTTGGTTTCATGGGTGCTGGCAGAAGACACAAGGCTCCTGAGTCAGAGGCAAAGAACTTCATTACAGCCCAGCAGGTGGCATGGACTGCATGTTGGTGTTGGTTCCTGAACTCATTTTCCCCTTGCTGTTTGAACAAAAGATAACATACTCTGGGGCTTAAGCAACACAAATTAATCTCTTAGAGTTATTAGTGTGCAGAAGTCCAAGGCAGCCTTAGTGGGCTCAGGTCATGGTGGGGTCAGGGCTGTGCTCCACCTGGAGGATCTAGTGAAGAATCCATTTCTTTGCTGTTCACAGCTTCCAGAGGCTGCTCACACTGCTCGGCCCCTGGCCTTATCAATGCGACCTCTGCTTCTCGTTTACACCTCTGTCTCTGACCTTCATGCTTCCCTCTTGTAAGGACCCTTTGTTTGATTACATTGGACATCCTCCCATCTCAGGATCCTTAGTCACATCTGCAAAGTGCCTTCTACAGTGTAAGGTGACATATTCACAGATTCTGGGGAGTAGGACATGGATGTGTTTGGGGGACCTTAGCCTACCACACTGTTCCATTTGGTCCCAAAGATTCATATCTGCCCCACATGCAAAATACATTGATCTCATCCCAATATCTTCCAAAGTTTCAATTGTTATAGCATCAACTCAAAGTCCAATATATAGTCTAAATCTTATCAGCTCAAAAGTCCCAAATCCCATTATCTTACTCATCTAAATCAAGTATGGGTGACCCTAGGTATGATCCATCTTGGGGGAATCTCCATCTGTGGACCTGTAAAACTGAAAAACAAAGTATTTGTTTTCAAATATCTGGTGTACCTGGAGAAAACCCCCTGACAAGAGAGTGGCCCCTGACAAGAATCCATATTTTTTTCTCAGGAATCAACATTAGAACAGGACGCTGTTGAACAAAACAACTTTATTTGGAGGCCTGCTTACCTATTGTACAGGTGAGAGAAATAAGGCTCTGGGGCACAAAGCTGGTGAGTGTGGCAGGCCAAGCTGGGTTTCAAGGACATGATGAACCTGTGGAAGGCTTGAATGAGTCCTTCTGTCAGTTGGTATTTATCTGGTATGTCTTTTTTCTGTCTCTACCTTTGGACCTCTCTATGTCATTCTTTTAAACTTTTAATCTATGTTTAAAATTTTAATTTTGCTTTGTTTCAGATAAACAAGTGAAATCTGTAAACCTATCCTTTAACTTGCAGGTTTATGCCATCTAAACATACTGTGATTACTGATGATGTTTTTATTTCTCACATCTTATTTTGTGATTTTTATTTACTTTGCTCTGTTTTTCCTCTTTTATATCATGTAGTCATGGTCCAGAGCATGGGGGTCGAGAGATAGTCTATCTGGGCTTGGATTCACCACTTGCCAACTGTGCAATCTTAACCAGGATACCTAATCTCTTTGAGACTCAGTTTTTCTAAACAAAAAGGGGTAATATGTACCTCAAAGTTTGTGAGCTTTAAGTAATAAAATATATAAAGCACTTAGAATAGTACTGGCCTATTCTACTTACTCCATTTTAGTGCTTTTGCATTTATTGTCTTTTTAAGCAAGTATTTTAGAGATTAGTTCTGAATTTTAATGAGCATACTAGTTATTGAAAGTTAAAGTCTGTTGTTTCATCTACCCATTGAGTTTTGTATATCAATTGTTATATATATTTTATTTTCATGAGTTCTGTTTTATTGATTTTAGAGGGGAAGGGAGAGGGAGAGAGACAGAGAGAGAAACATCGATGCAAGAGAGAAACATCCATCAGTTGCTTCCTGTACGTGCCCCAACGGGGGGTCAAATCTGAAACCTGGGTATGTGCCCTGACCCAGAATCAAACCCAAGGCCCTTCGGTGCGTGGGAGATGTTCCGACCAACTGAGCCACACTGGGTGGGGACTATTTGTGTTTTTTAAAAAAATATGATCTGTTCTTTTTTCATGACGCCCTGATTTTTTTATTACATAGTCTATGATTTATTTTTCCTAATGATTCATCCATACTTATTTCGTGCTTTTAGACTGCTTCATAATTGTAGGGTCTGGAATACTAAGCATCCTGGGGCTTTAGGGTTTGCATCTTCTACTCACAGTTAATTATTTCCGACTATACTTAGTCGTGTGTGCGTGTGTGTGTAGTGGTGTGAGCTTCTCCTTAGCAAGCATTACTTTTTTCCTGTGATTGTCCCATGAACCCTGGTTTATAAAACCTTCCCTAGAGAACAGGTTCTGTATTGTTTATTCTTAGGCTCCAAGTGGTTTGATCAATCTGGAATTAGGTTATTTTTTTGCTGGTAGGTTCCTGCGTCCTAAATGGAGCATAAATTTGGATCCCACGTCCACATGAAGCATGAGCTTAGGGTTTAGATTTTCGAAGGGAAACTTTTTTGCTAGAGACCCTGGTAGAACCAGTTTCCTCACCCCTTGCCTGCGTAGGTGTGTGGAGTTCTTTGAATCTCCCTTTCATTGAAAAGGCAGTCCTTTCTATCACTTTCATGCAGGGGTCTCAATAAAGCAAGAGGATGTCTGTGTCAGCTATGAACCCTTTTTTCTGAATGGACATTAGGACCCCATTAAAGCCCCTTCCCCCCAGGGCGCTGTGGCACAGCCTACAAGCTTCCCGTGCTGGCTTTAAGTTTCCTGCTTGTTTTGTCACCTGGGAATTTCTCTTTCCTTCATGGTTAGCTCATGGTTATTTTTGTTGTTGCATTTTATCCAGTGTTACTGAAAATTTAACTTTTAAAAGGGACCCAGATTAGCTCAGTTCACCATGTTTCCAGGACTGAAAGCTCCAGTGCTAGAGTATCTGTTAAGATTCTTCTCACACATACATCTCAGTATATTTCTCTGCTGAAAATCTTTATCCTTTCATCTATTTTGTCCATCATTTCCTATATTTTGTTGGACATATTAATGATTTTATGGTCTTTATAAAATAGCCCTGATACCTGGGCTTGCATTTGTTGCCAACATCTTGTAAGGTCAGTCTTTTTAATTTTATCCATTCTAATATGTGTGTAGTAGGATCTCATGGTGGTTTTCAGTTGCATTTCATTAATGACTAAGGGTATCTGGTATCTTCTTATAGGCTTACTTTCCAACTAGATAACTTTAGTGAAGTGTCTTTCCAAGTCTTTGGCTCATTATTTTATTGGGGTATTAATACTGAGTTTTGAGTATTCTTTATTCTAGATATAAATACTTTGTCAGATATAGGATCTGAAAAAGAGTTTCTCTTAGTCTATGGCTGTTTTTCCATTTGCTTAACAGTGTCTTTGAAGAGCAGAGAAGTCTAATTTACCAATTAAAAATGGATTATACCTTTGGTGTTATATCAAAGAAATCTGTGCCAAAGAGGTTTTATAGTTTAGGTTTTCTCTGAAGGTCTATGATCCACTTGGAGTTAATTTTGAGTATGTTGTGAGGTATGGATCATAGTTCATTTCTTTGCTTATGGGTATCTAGTAGTTCCAGCACTATTTGTTCAAAAGATGCTTTTTCCATTGAATTGCCTTTGTACTTCTATTGAAAATCAGTTGTCCATGTATGTGTTGGTTTATTTCTGGATATTCTATTCTGTTCCATTGATCTATTTGTCTACTTTATGCCAATATCAGACTTGTTGATCACTGTAGCTTTATAGGAAGACTTGATATAAGATAGTATAAGTTCTTCAATTTTGTTCTCTTGATTGAAGTTGTTTTGGGCTATTTTGGGGTCCTTTGCCTTTCTATAGGAATTTTAAAATCAGTTTTTAATTTCTCTTTCTTAGATACGGTTCTGTTGGCAGAATTCCACTAA